TGTTTAAGCGTCACTCCACCTGGGTTCCACCAGGTACAAAGCCCTAGAGGACCATAATGGAGCGCCCCGACGCATTTAGTGCAAGCAACACTCGGGACCTATCTAATCCCTGACAGGCAGAACCCGCCATCATAGCCAGAAGGAAGGGGACCGTCAGCAACCCCAACCTCCCATTTACACAGTTAGATATAATCAAAATCTTTTGTAAATATCTTGTCTTTTCTCAAAAAGCTGATCTTGTTTTTTAGTGTTTCTACAAATTTTTACCTCTCATAGCCGCATTAGGTTGTCTATAACGATTTTAAATGAAAAAAAAACATTATTTCTTTTTTTCTACTTGGTTGTGTTCTATGACTTTTTCTATGTTTCCATTGTTTGCAAATCGGTTATTTCAATGATTGCTCAAGAAATGTAGCATATTGTTAATTTAGTTTTATTTTTAGCCCATATCAAATTGTCCAGGATTTTTCCATTGTAATAATTTCACCAACCCAAGTTTCGTCTACAGATGGAATACGCCAAAGAATATCACCTACGTACAATCTCCAAGAAGTGGTAAAAAAAGGCAGAAACCAAGCCATACAACAGATATAAGTTAACTACATAAGAAATAATTTTAAGAGTTACTGTGATATTAGAATTTTCCACTGATTTGGTAATAGAACATTATATTGCAAAACATGACACGATGCAGAATAAAATCGATTTTAAAATCAGAAAAACCCATTGCAAATACTGTACTTCATTTTGAAAAATTCAATAAATCACAATTTAAAAAAGCTGTTTCATTAAAAAGTAGTTTTGAATTATGCATATGGTAAAACAAATTTGAAGATGCAACTTTAAAGGCTTCTGGGGCAGAGCCCCAAGGGAATTTACATCGTTCCTCTTTTGATGGCTCATCTATAGACCAAGACCTTTCTTTAGAGACCCCTACCAAGTTTCTAGGCCCAGCCGTTCTCTCAAATTAGCTGGGACAAAAACCCAGTTTTTCCTCCATAAGAATAACATGGGATGGGAATTCAAAGGCCACTGGGGCAGAGCCCCAAGGGAATTTACCACGTTTCTCTTTTGATGGCTCATCAACAGACCAAGACCTTTCTTTAGACACCTCTACTGAGTTTCTACGCCAGGCCATTCTCTCAATTTTGCTATGACAAAGAAAAACAGTTTCAAATTAATATATAGATGAAATTATAAACAATTGTATTATATAAAAAAAAAACTTTATAAGAAGAATTAATAAACTACCATGCTTTACCTGTACAATAAACATAATTTTTTTCGTATTTTAATAGGTACTTTTCTGATTACTTCATTCCGTTTTCAATCAAACAATTTAAAACATTATAAGCTGTTATTTAAACATGATTGATAAAACCTATATTTATCTAGTATATATCCAAATTAAATGCAAGCGAGTTTAAAAAACGGCAAAACAGGGATACAACCCATTAATTTTAATCAAACATAAATAATCAAAGAAATTAAATTTATTTCAAAATTGTTCAAACTTGTATTTTAAGAACTACACTAACAATTGTTCAAAAGGGTTATAAGCAATTTAAATATTGTTAAGAAAATTTATTTAAAATTTGTTGAAACTTGTTTTTTAAGAACTGCACAAACATTTGTTAAATAGTATTGTAAACAATTTAAATATTGTTAGAAAATTGTTTTAAAATAGTTTATAACAAAACTAAGAATAAAACAGTTTTAAAATTGGTGTAAAATAGTTACAACTCATATTAAAACTTATTTTGTATACTGCAAAAACTGATTGTTAAACAATTTAAAGATTGTTAAGATTGTTGCAATCTTATATTAAAATTGTTGTAATATGAAATTTAAATCAACATGTTTTAAAATTGTTATACAACAATTGCAATACAGCTTTTAAAGATTTTTAGCAATTTTTTCGCTTATTCGGTAAGGGCAAAATTTTCAAAATTAGCTATCATTATTGTAGCCTTTTATAACTAAGAAGGTTGCCGCAAAATGATTTCAAATATTTTGAATAGTTGAAAACTTAAGAGGGGGTGCAAGTTACTTATCAGCCACCCTGTATAATATATGTGTCATAACATAACATTAGAGCATGTTTAAATTCTGAGTGCTTTTTTAGAACATGTTACTTCCCTCCTCTAATGCCCAAGTTGTGCACCTGCTCAGAGGACAACAATATTGGTTATGGTAATCTCCAAGATGGCTCCAACTATAATCAAAAAGTGTTACATTTTCAGTACATACTAAACCCCTAATAGTGCGGACTCCTATGAGCTAACTACTTATTAATGGGATATTCATAAAATAAATGGTGTACTTACCTGCCTTTATTTTATGTAATAGATAAAAGCAGAAGTTTGATTAAAGACACCTACCTAAAATAAACTTTTCAACTAATACAGCCACCAAATTACTAAAAGGTCAAGTTTATTTCTCTTTTCTCCCCCTATACATATATGGAGAAAGTATTGTTTTCGTCAAAATTTTCGAGATTGAGTTTTGAGTGGATATATTCGTTTTGAGTCCCCCTGCACCCAATAAGTGGGTTTCTAAGTTATGTCTGTGTGTTTCTGTATGGGTGGCAAGGACGGTCCCAGGGGGGGGGGGTCATGACCCCCCCCCCAAAATATTTGTTATATACATAAACTGTTTGTTATTGCAAATCGATCTACCAATTTGAAATTCATTGTAGTCTTTACACTTGTGGCGAATGAAAGGACTAATTACAAATTCTAACCTAAAACTCGGGATCGTTCGAGTCTGACTATTTTTCGTACGTTATGAAAAGTAGGGAAGATCGGCAGACGACAGACGAGTTCAGCGTTAGGAATTTATAATTACAGTAATGTAATTCAATGATTACTGTAGCAAATTTCAAAACTTTCAATATTAAATAGTATTTATATTTAGAGCACCTGATATCATATTTAAGAATACCACAACCCAATTTTCATATTGCTAGCCACAAAACAACAACAAAATGGTAGTATCTTAGACTTAGATGCGGAAGGGACGGATTTAATTACCCACACAACCACAAAAAGTTGCACAAAAACTGTATTCTCACATTGACCCCTTGTAAAATGCCACTGGCACTGGCGTAGAAAAAAATGAGAGCAATGAGAACCAATTCTTCAGGTGGTAGCAGTGACGGGACGCCGAGGGCAACGTTAGTTGGGTAGTGTACTTTGTGTAGGTTAACTGTTGCTTGCTGGGCAGGTATAATGCAGTCGTGTTGGGTGCAAGTTCTGAAACACATCTATATATATATGTAAAAGGCAAAGCCCTCACTGACTGACTGACTGACTGACTGACTCACTCACTCACTCATCACTAATTCTCCCACTTCCCACTTACCTAGGAGGCTGAAATTTGGTACACTGATTCTTTAGGCATTAAATAGGAAAACTAAGTGGTTTTTATTTTGATCGGACTCTCGGGCTCCACCCCAGTGGCTCTGGAGTTTCCCATGTTAACCTAATGAGTACCCATATTTAAATGGAATTAATGAATCATAACAGCTGTTTCAATTAAACAAGTTGGTTCTGTTCTATGATGTTCAATAGCATTTAAGTTACAAGGATTACCAACAGGGTGCAGCACTATTATTTTTTTTAAATATTTGACTACAGCTAATTTGAAACCAAAAGGTGAGTGAGCGTAGCGAACGAACTTCAACCCGGAGGCGAGGTAGCGTAGCGAACGAGCTAATCTGAAGGCAAGTGAGCGCAGCGAACGAGCTCCAACCATAAAGCTGAGTGAGCGTAGCGAACGAACTTCAACCAGGACGTGTGAGCGCAGCGAACGAGCTCCAATCTAAAGGTGAGTGAGCGTAGCGAACGAACTTCAACCAGGACGTGATTGAGCATGCGAACGAGCTAACATATGAAGTTAAACGGGGCAAAGCCCGCGGGTACAGCTAGTCTTAGATAAAATAAGTTCTCTGGTCCGAAATCTTGGTCTGATTTTGGACATTTTCTGTTTAGCATGCACATCGGCACCAGTTGAAAGGGTGTTTTCGTAAATCAATAATGCTTGAATGTGTTGTAATGTTGCGGTATTCCTTTGATATTAAACCACAAGTCTCAATAATGCAAAAACATAACATTATACAAGTTTATTTTTAGAAATTTCTTTGACCTTTAAATAAACTGAAAAGCTTGAAGACATTAAACTAGGTGCTCAAATTAGCTTAAAAACCACTCATTTTAGCACGTTATTTCCAAATTTTTTCCGGGGTCCCTTTGCTGGGGGGTATGGAATACCCCCCCGGCCCCCCGGTGACCCCCCCCCAAAATATATGTCTAGGACCGCCCTTGATGGGTGGATATGTACAGAGCTACAGCCCACACCTGTAGTCCCATTTTGATGAAATTTGGTATATAGGTACTACTATTCCATGGTATCTCTAAGTGTTTTTTTATTTATATTTGTAATGGTATTTTCCCCATAAAAAGCCATAAAATAACGGAAAAATCAAATTTTCTGAAAAAATTGCACGAACGATTTTGACAAAAATGTAGTATGTTAGTCAATGGTTATAGTCCTTTAAATTCAGAATAAAATGGTACAAATTCCATTTCCGTAAAAATTATGGTTCAAAAGTAATTGTAACTTATGTTATTTTCCCATAAAAAACCCATAAAATAATAAAAACTAATTTAAGGAAAAAAGTCGCTTTTGATTAAAATGAATGTGTTATGGTCCTTATAATTCTAAACTAAATAGTGCAACCACCCAATTGCTGTAACAATTTCGGTTCAAAAGTTATTGCAACTTTGGAAACTAAAGGTTGTTGACAAGCTAAGCTTATGGGAGAAAGTATATGTCAGATTTCTAATACCTTTTAAATTGATTTTAACAACAATATTTGCATTGAATTACTATTAGTTTAAACGTTTAATGTTACAAAATAGTAATTTTATGTGGAGGTATAGGTATAAGGAGGTGGGAAACACCTTTTTTTCTACATGAGATTTGTTGAATAATAAACATATTTCAAAATAATATATATTTTTCAGTTCATACATATGCTATACAGTTTTTAAGTTCACATAAATGAATCCTGGACAACATTTTGTAGTACCTTATGTTATTCTTGAAAATTTTATATGCTCTTACTTGTGTTAAAACTTATAGCAAAACAGTTTATACTTAGCAGCCTCAATCATTTAGCCCAGGCAAAATAGCCAAAAAAAGAGCTGTAGCTCCTAAAATTTGGGAGAGGGCTGGAAATCGTTTTAATCGGCTCTTGAGATCCTAAAAAGTTAAAAATGAGTTTGCGACGGATATTGAAGTGAGCTAAGTGTATGGGAGGCAAAAAACTAGGCCAATTTTGCTCATTTTTTTAGTTTTCGCTTATAACTCAAAACATTGCATCCCACAAAAAGTGTATCCATACTTTTCTAAAGAACATTAAATTCTGCGTCGAACGACGTTAAAATCATTAATACCGGTTCAGTTGTTCTGCTACAACAGGTCATCAAAGTTAAAGTAGTTCTAACATTCTCCTTGTCATCCTATTATTGATGATTACAGCGTGTTCCGCCAGATGGCAGAGTGTATGCTATATTTTGTTTGACAACCTGTTGTGGCAGAATGACTGAACCGATTTTAATGATTTTAACGTAATTCGACGCGGACTTTATTGTTCTTTAGACAAGTATCCGTACACTTTTTTGTGGGATGCATTGTTCTTCAGTTATAAGCGAAAAACTAAATATTTGAGCAAAATCGGCCTAGTTTTTTGCCTCCCATACACTTAGCTCACTTCAGAATCCTTCACAAACCCATTTTTAACTTATTTAGGATCTCCAGAGCAGATTAAAACGATTTCAAGTTTTTCCCCAATTTTTAGGAGCTACAAGTCTAGTTTGCCTGGGCTATAATTGCAACTGAATGAATAAATCTCTTTTTACCTACTAAATAATAATCCTTCACTTAGATACATCACAACATTTACCTGGTGAGTAAGTAAGTACCCTATTCACCCATATCCCAATTCCAGGAATAACATATTTATAGTGTAAACGTAATTCTTGAAACACAACTTTTCTCAAATTGGGATATGGTACATAATCATTTCTAATAGATTTTACATTATGGATTCAAAGTGGTACTACTTATGTATGGTTGATGGTAAGTTTTATTTACAGCTAAACACAACACTAAACAATAAACAAAAGTTTTTCATCTGATGGTGAAAACACCTTATGACTGGGTGTAGTCTATGGATCTTTTCTTGAGAGATGAGAGAGGGAAAGGCTTGACAGCGTATCTCTCTCGTTCAGCCTGTAATACAAACAAGAATAACAATCTGGGTTCACTTTTTTATAATTTTAGAGCATGATAAATTATTTATTTAATTTGTATCATACGCACAATTTATTTCAAACAGTTAGCTCCTCGAGCCTTATAAAATGACTTGAACATAGCATTTTTAATTTCACGATTGTCTTTTCCTTCCATTGTCTTGAGACAGTAGGTAGCAGAACTCTGTCTGAACGGTACAAATGTAGGCTAAGCTTCTTTTCAACTTCATGAACAATAACAAATTTAAGTATACAGGGTGTCCCGGAACTCTCTACCAATATTTTAGGGCATTGCTCCTGGGTAAGAAACATACCTAAATATCATATTTAAATTGTCCGGAAGTCCTTAGTTACTCACACAGCCGGCATTTTGTTTTTTTCAGTTATTAATTTTTTTCTAAAGAATGGTTTAACTTACGAAATTGAAACTTTGTACAAACATGTATGACAACTATACAAAGCTACCAAAAAATTATGACGATTTTTCCAATTCATAAAACAAAATGGCGGCCATTTAAAAAAATTTACAAAAATTTTACAAGAATGTTAATACAAATCTATTGACACTATTTTTAAGATTGGGCGAGTATTAACTGAGATATGGCAATTTTAGTGATACGTGACCTCTGAAGGTTAGTTGGAGCGCATGCTGAAAGCGTCGTCCAAACCTACCCTTTCAATTTCACTGCATTAATTGCTAAATAAAGTAAACAAAGAAAAGTATAAACAATAACAAAATATTTTGTTTTGAAACAACTGTTAAGTTAAAATAACATTCATTTGGAAAAAGAACTTGTCAACTGTCGAAGTAATTTACAAAAGTAAACACGCTAGTAACATAGTTTTAGCGAATTTCCCATATAGGGAATAAGCGATTACCGTAGTACTCATGGTAAGACCTGGATGCGGGACCGATTTTTTTTTTCGTTTTGAGGTCCCTAGAGGCCAAAAACACCATCCGTTCAAATTCATATATATATATATATATATTTATATATATATATATATGTGTCCGTCAGCACGATAACTCGAGCAAAAATGATCCGATTTGGATGAAATTTGGTACAAACGTGTAAACGTACGTTTATTCGAACGAGTTCGCGATCCAGCATGATCGGACCATGGGAACGGGGGTTTACAGGGGGTTTTATGGGGTAAAAATAGGTTTTTCCTATTTTTGACCCAAAAAACATAAAATTTAGCAATTTCTTTCCAAACCATTTTGTAGAGCTTAAAAAAACAAATAATTTAGTATATTGAAGCGTTATTATACGCCTAATAGTTACGGAGAAAATTCCAAAAAATTGTAAATTTAAATTCCCATGTTATTCTTATGGAGGGAGAATAAGTAAACTGTTGTAGTTTGCTTGTTTGTGAACATATTTTGATCAAATTTGGAAATTGTTTTTATTTCTCACTACCTATTCACATTTTACAAAAAAAAAAAGTTTTACCCTCCCTGATGCAGCAAACCTAAGTACTTGTTATACTAATTCTATTTAAATCAAGAATAAATGTTATATTTTTAAGTAGACATTTCAGTGTAAATCCAATCAGTCAAATGGAAATTCGCTTGGTCTGCAGGTTTGCTGCGGCGGGGGTATTTCTATGTTTTTTATGAATACCGGTATCCATTCTAATATCCGTGATAATTACCCACCCTCATTGAATATATGTACATCATCCTATATTCATTTATATAAACGATAAGATACAGTATTTAGTTGAAATAAAAGTGATATTTTACCTACATCAGCGCACCCAAACGTATCCACCCGTAAACACATGTCAAACCAATGTTTTAGATTTTACAAAAGGGTAGAAAGTGTATTTGCATTATCAACCTAGTTCAATGATAGCATTGTGTTTAATCTATCTGTTTCACTCTGGAAAAAACCCTCAGAGGTTGTGGTAGTAATTTAAAATTGTGATTCCTGATCATCCTTGATCTCCTTGCTTGATAACATCAATATTTTCAGGCCTAAACCAAACAAAGTTTAATTAGTCATCCATTTATTGAAAACAATTCTGCCGAGATGAATTAAAACGTGTAAAAACTGTTATTTTCCTAATCTTTCCTCAAAAGGTCAAACAGTAAAATAATTTGCATATGCTTTTCTTTGAAGGCTCATGGGCATAACTTCGATTTGTATACATAACATGGTCTTACTTATCTCCGTGGTCTACTTATCTCTACACTAATCTTACTTATTTCCTACAATCAATGACAAAATCATATATTAAAGATTCCAAAAAGTCATCCGAAGATTCCAATCTAAAGTTCTTAAGGCACATTCTCCAGGCACCATGGTTCGTTAATAACGAAGTGCTTCACAGGGACAGTCGATCCCCAACGGTCAAAGAAGAAATTTCAAGGTTAAGTGCCAAATACTTAATGAAATTAGGGTACCATACTAACTACCTTGCTTTAAATTTATTGGAAAACAGCAACTGCGTATATAGATTGGAAAAGATGCCATGTTTTGGACTTAAGTTATAGTTTACTCCTGTATTTAAATTTTATCATATTTGCTTAGTGTTCTATTTTTGTTGAACAGATTGTAAATTAAATAAAATGTAAAAAAGGGAGCAAGCACCTGTTCATCAACAAGTCTTGCCAAAAATTTGATCAATCATATAAAGATTTAAGAAATCTGTAGCTCATGTCCAACACATGAACAACACTTTTTAGTCTGGTAATACACTGACTATTGTCCAGCAGATTAACAGCAAGACTGTTCGGATGATATTCTAATTTTTCTTGGTACTTTTTGCTATGGTCTGTAATTTATTATTTCAATGATTTAATTTTGAAGTAATTCCTAATTGTAGTGTTGGATAGAAACCAAGGTGCGCCAATAATTCTTCTCGGCCTCTTAGCCTGAAATCGTTCAAGTATTTTGATGTTGGATTTGCTCGAGGCCCCCCTGTAGCGGGGGGCCGTTTGGTGAGGGGGTGCGGGGTTAAGGTATGGGATGGAGGAGGGAAATTCGGGTAATCAGGAGGGAATAAACAGGGTAATGCTAATAGGTTAGGAAAAGGTGTGTCTGGACCAAACTTAATTTCAGCGTGCTGAATCTGCTACCAATACAATTAGGAAGATTGCTGGGGACCAGAGGGACGGAGACCTTTTACCCAGATCAGAACAATTGCCTAGCCAGCTTTGATTTGAACTAATGGAACTAACTATTTAAATATAAACCTATCCTTCCACTATGAACTGAACTTGGGTAATTACTTACTAATTATTGATGAGCAAATGAGTGATATGCAATTGAATACTGAATGAGAAATAAGTATGAATTGATTTAAACTATTAAGTTACATTCTGGGAACATGTGGATTAGTATTCATGTTTCGAAAGGTTGGTGGCAGAGTGCCACCAACCGGCTAAGTTGTCAATTCCTACATTTCCATAGTCGGGTGAGCCAGAAGGGCTCCCCGCTAGTTACCTGACTTAGCCAGACATTTTCCCTACTTAATTTCTACATATTAACTAACTATGATAACTTATCCCAAACATCGAAGAGAAGTCCTGGATTTTACGGAGAGGTTTCCTGTGTAGAAGCCGGTTGTCCAAGAAGGAGGACAAGACTAGGAAAGGTGGGGATAGAGCATTGATGCAGTCGCGGCAGGCAACGAGATGAACATGCAGCCCGGCTTCGCGAACTGCACACACTATAAAAAATATAGCGTGCCGCTATGCGTCACAACCACCCCCCTTACGACGAAAGAAAAGAAAAGAACAGAACAGTTTTTTTTAAGGTTGGTGAAAGGGTTTGGTTTGGTGTGTGTTTTTTTTTTTTTGTGGGGAAGTTTGTCGTTCGGTTTGCTTCCAGATGTGGAAGGTTCTGACCAGCTTGGCTGTAATAGGCACCTCGGACCACCGGACTTTCCCGAACCAACCACGGCAGAGAGCGGGATCCACCCCCCCTGCGAAAAGAGGAAGGCATTGTGGGGACGACAGTTTGTTTCCCTAACCTAAAATTGGAATTGAATTGCTTTCTGTTGTGAAATAAAAAGGGACGGACAACTGCACGCACAAAAGATTTTTTTTTTTTTTTTTTTTTTTTTTTAATTAGGTTTTCTTCTTAAGGCATTGCTGGTGCACTGTGGGGGAATTTGAGATCAGCTGGTGTGTCTTCTGGTGATGCAGGTCTTGAGAGGTGCTGATGGTATGGGCTAAGTGTTGAGGCAGCAGGCTGAGTGTAGGCAAAGAGATGTTGTGTGCTGATGACTCATGCGGACAAGGCCGGAGCATCGCAGGCTGCGCCCAAGGTGTGTTGGCTGATGACTCATGCGGACAAGGCCGGAGCATCACTGGCTGCGCCCAAGGTGTGTTGGCTGATGACTCATGCGGACAAGGCCGGAGCATCGCTGACTGATGATGGGGGATGTCGAAGATAAATGTATCTTGTGGTCCAAAACAGATGTGCACGATATTTCATGATTGATTGGTATGCGGGAAAATTGTAGAGTTGTTAATTGAGTTTTGCTTTTTCATTTGATTTATTTATTATTTTTTGCTTGCTTTGATTGTGCAGTTGTCTGGTGTCTATTAAATAATGCTGGGGGAAATGAATATTTAATCAGATCGCAGATGATCGTAAAAAAATTATTTTCAAGGTGACTGTCGTTGTGGAAATGAAGAAGGGTTGGTCGCAAGGTGGAGGTCCGATCACTGACGGGTTGGCTCGGACTCAAAAGGTGAACCATGGGTTCGTTGGGGCCGAGCTACTCAAAACCAGACTGATGGAACTCGCGGGTACCGTTTTGGGGTCTGTGTGTTGAAGGAGTTTGGAAGGATAGTAACTGTTCTTTTTGAAACCTTTTTTTTTTTGTTGAAACTTTTTTTTTTTTTTTTTTTTTTTTTATAAAGAACGTTTCGCATGCAAATTATTACGTATGCAAATTATTACGCATGCAGAAAATTGCGCGTCGGAAAGCGCTAGAAAAAGGTGGGAATAGGTTTTCTTGGGA